GACGGAGAAGAAGAAAAGCTCCACATCCTGGTCTTCCCTTTCATGGCGCAGGGCCACGTCATCCCCATGATCGACACCGCCAAGATCTTCGCCTCCCGTGGGCTCAGGGTAACCGTCGTCACCACCCCGCTCAACGCCCCTCTCTTCTCCAAGAACCTCCACCGCAGCTTCCCCTCGATCGCCGTCGAAACCCTCGAGTTCCCCGCCGCCGCCGCCGGCCTGCCGCCGGACTGCGAGAATTTCGACGTCAGCATGGGCTTCGACGCCGTCACCAAATTCTTCGTCGCCGCGGAAATGCTCCAACCCCGCTTCGAGAACCTCCTGGCGGAGACCCGACCCGACTGCGTCCTCGCCGACTGGTTCTTCCCCTGGACCACCGATTCGGCGGCGAAGTTCGGGATCCCGCGGCTCGTCTTCCGCGGGACCAATTTCTTCGCGTCGTGCCTCTCCGAACTGACCCGGATCCACCAGCCCCACAAGCGGGTCGGGTCGGAGTCCGACCCTTTCCCCGTCCCGGGCCTCCCCGGCCCACCTGTTTTTCTGTCGATTGACCAGATGCCGGTGATCGACAGGCTGCTCGGCGGGGAAACTTTCGTCGGGAAGGTTTTCGAACGAGTCGCGGAGGCCGAATCGAAAAGCTACGGGACGATTCACAACACGATCTACGAGTTCGAGCCGAGGTACGCAGATCTGTACATGAAGGAATTGGGGAGGAGGGCTTGGAGCATCGGCCCTGTTTCTCTCTGCAATGTGGGGATCGAAGACAGAGCAAGCAGAGGGAAAGAATCCTCCATCGACGAACACTCCTGCCTCCAATTCCTGAACTCGAAAAAACCCAGATCTGTGGTGTACGTCTGCTTCGGGACCTTAGCGAACTTCTCAGATCCCCAATTGAAGGAAATCGCGGCCGGGCTGGAATCCTCGGGGCGGGAATTCGTGTGGGTGGTGAGGAGGGAGACAAACAGGGGAGGAGGAATTGACGGCGACGGCGGCGGCGGAGGAGACGACAGCTGGCTGCCGGCGGGATTCGAGGAGAGGATGGAAGGGAAGGGGCTGATTATTCGGGGGTGGGCCCCGCAGGCGCTGATTCTGGACCACGTGGCGGTGGGCGGGTTCGTGACGCACTGCGGGTGGAACTCGACGCTGGAAGGGATCACGGCGGGGCTGCCGATGGTGACGTGGCCGGTGACGGCGGAGCAGTTCTACAACGAGAAGCTGCTGACGGAGATCCTGGGGATTGGGATCGCGGTCGGGGTGAAGGTGGGGAGCGGAGCGGTGGCGGATGCGGTGGGGCGGATGATGGCGGAGGAGGGTGAGGAGGCGGCGGAGATGAGGAGGAAGACCAGCGAGCTGGGGAGGATAGCGAGGAGAGCGGTGGAGGAAGGCGGATCTTCGTATGGTAATGTCAGTGCTTTGATCGGAGAGCTGAAACGGGACCTCCGCCTGGGGCGAAAGTGAATCGGATATGTAGATTTTATTTTAGTTATTTTTGGGCATTGTTTTATTTATTGAAACAAAACTAAATCAAGCCACCTACACTACATTATTGTCACAAAGGTTTATTAATGGATTGTTTTTACCTTCTTAGACCGGTCATATTCATCGCGATACCAATTTTGTATCACATTGATTAAATACACAAGATCAAGCTAATTACAACAATTAAAAAATAATTAAAACGGGCTAATTGGATTGGATTTTTGGACTCCGTGCACCCAGACCATTGTGATTCTTGCGCTCGATTATCTTTCCAACTCCATAATTTAGCTAAGTATGGAAATCCCTTCTGATGTGGCGAGATGGGGTCATTAGTGTAGCTCATGGCTCGCGAACATACCACATCTTATGTGAGTAATGAGTATAGGGTTATTAGCAACACATCGCGAGCATGGTGGTTTTTAATGACCGCATAAAAGTGTCTAGTGCTATAAATTGGGGTAAAAATTGAATAAATATGGAGTATCCCACCTAATGTGACGAGATGGGGTAGTGTACCCTATGGACCAAGAACATACCCCTTTACCAATGGAGTACCACCTTAATATGATAGAGGGCATCACACTGTGGCAAGAGAGAGGGATCACCATACCCCTCCCGATGTGATGGGGGGAGATCGCCATACTCCCCCCAGTCTTTCGAGGTGGGGTAGGAATTGGTTAAGTTTTGAGATTGCCACACTCATCCGAGTTCTTGTAATTTGGCTAAGTGTTAAATACCCTACTGATGTGGTGTAAGGAGAATGTGATATTGAGATACCCCAGGTTATCGAAAAGGGAGGACATTAAAGTGGTAAGGTGGTCACTCCCGCTCTCACAATCATAAGCAGTGAATTGTTTTTGTCGATTTGACTCATGTGATCCAAACACCTAACCACATGTGACAAGCAAAACAAAGTTAAGGAGGAACTACTAAGTGGAAGGAGTCAAGGCAAAATAGGGGGCCACTCTCAATGTCAAGGCATCATCAAAGCAGTGGACTGAGTCACTGTCACTCCATATTAGCCTATTGGTTTTTGAAGGCATTTACTTTTTGTGACTATTCGATAGGAGGTGAATGTTGACAGAACAATGATTCGCAAAAATCACAACTCGACAGTGTTTGTTAAGTTCTATATAATATATTAGCCACAACTATTATGAAGTGGGGAATTATAGCCACAGCTATGAAAATTCAAATTATCAGCCAAACGTTAACTATCTATTAACAATTCCGTTAGTAAAACTTATTAAACTTTTATGTTTTAAAGTTATAAATTAAAAGCATTCCGACGTGGCCGCTGCCGCGGCCGATGACGTGGCCTTCTCCGTAAAAAATTTGACAACAGTAACGGACAGTTAGTCATATCTTGACCCACAACAATAGTTATGGCTAATAATTTGAATTTTCATAGTTGTGGATATAATTCCCCGTTTCATAATAATTGTGGCTAATATATTGAATTTACCCCTTTTTTTTCCTATGCGAATTAGCTACAATTGTAGTTATGGAGCTCTCTCTTAGGTCTTTGTCTCGTGATAAGTTGTAAAAGAAATCGAACACCCCTGTTTGAACTTTGCTCAATGAGGTGTGAACTGTGTTTGTTTAATCGTTTTTCAAGAAGTCAATGTGCAATCCATTCAATTTCAATACAAAATTTCAAAATTTTATAGTGCCGAAACATGAATTTTTCAACGTAATCTCGAGCAACGACACACCTCCCTTTAACCCCCCCCCCCCCCGGTGCATTGATATGTACAATGTACCAGTATGGTTGGAACTTGGAAACTTACCTACCTAGGATTTTATGCGAGCTCTAAATGAGACTAGTATGTAAAAAAAAAAAAAAATAGAGCTTGTGATCCTCAATACACCAAGATCGAAATACACTCATCTTCTTCCCACCAGAAAAATCAGATTTACCAAAAGCTTGAGAAAGGCCACACCAAAATTCAGTTTTACTTCAAGCCAAATTCCACGAAAATCTATGGAAACCATTTGTTTCAAAAAAGTACATGTTGATATGTATTGGATAGGCGTTACAACCTAGCGAAATACAAATTTTCTTCTGACAAACCCTATATACATAGTGATTAGATCGGTCCCCTTTGCTCTACTCCATATTTAGGACCGCAACTATCATCACCATTCACCACCACTACTTTTTCACGACGACACTTCCCATCCTTGTTATTATTTTTGACAATCAGTCCTTGGCAGCTGGTACTACATCCTATCCTCTGCAAAGGAATCCGTAATAAATATCGTCCATTCCCATTGGTTACAAATGATGAGAGCTAAGAGGGGGAATTGGAGTCCTAATTTTCCACTCACTTCTACGACGAAAGGGAAAGGGATAGGGATATGTCATCTCTGCATTATTACCCTCGTCGTCCTCTTCATTCCCACGACAGTTTTCGAGACTCAAGAGGTGATAGGTTCTTCTGCACATGGGGAAGTAGAACCGATATTACCCACTGGTTCTTCACTGTATATCCAGAACTTTTGACGATCGAGAGAGGGTCTTGTGTTGGGATGCCGCCGACAACCCATGTTTATTAAGTATAGGGCATTCGAATCCGTGCGAACTTCAAGCACGTATGAGAAGGCTTTCGTTCGAGAGGGATGCCGTATTAGTAGGGGTGAACAAACACACCCGCAAATCGACCTACCCGTCCAATCCGATCCAACCCACTCGTATTAATCGCTAAAACTAAGGTTTTGGGTTGGGTGAGGGTTTTCTTTTGTACAACCCGCCTCTTTTGGGTTGGATTTTGGTTTACACAACCCGTAGAACCCGACCCAACCCGTGTTCCAATTATTAGTATAATTTCGTATCCAAAAAATATTTAAGTCGTATATAGCCATACTTATGAGAAAATTAAGATATTTCTTCATGTTTTTTCTCTCATGGTCTCTCTAATCTAATGCATTCTTCAGCTTAAAGTTCAGGCATATATTTAATATAGCTATGATTCACGTAATCCTTTTTCTTGTGTACAATTTTAATAGAATCACATATTATGGATGCGTTTGTTTATAACCCTTTCAGCTTATTTCAACAAATGTCGTGAAAAAATTAAACATATGTTGAAATAAATCACATTTTATTAAAATTCAAACAATATTTGTGAATTTTGATACCTTTCACTTCGGTTTATTCATTTGAAATTTTAATTAGTTATAAAATATTTTTATGGTGTAGAATAATTAAATATTTTGTGTTGGGTTGGGTTTTTACTTAAAAATATCGTCAACCCGACCCAACCCAATTAGAAACAAACCGTAGGGTTTTAATATTTATGGGGTGGGTTTGAGTTTAATATTTCCCAAACCGTAGTGCATCGGTCGGGTGATTAAAATGGGCTAAATCCGGACCACCCGACCCATGTACACCCCTACGTATTAGTAAAGAGTATAAGATTCATAAATTAACGTCTCTCAACAACTCGAGTTATTGAAATCAACCGGTTCTTAATATTGTTATTGAAGTCTTTGAAAACTGAGACTTATGTTTGAATCCCAACGAACCACGTTTGTTAAGCTTGTTAAGCTCATGTTATTCGAACGTGTAGCTAATTGAAAAATTATTCATTCACATTACATCCTACTGAAAAAGATGTAGGATGTAACATTCCACATTAATGTTCATCACGTTTGCGATCTCAACTCCTCGATCAAAGCACTCAGATCAAAGTAAGACGATCCACCTTCTTCCACAGCTTTCCTCGCCATCTCCCCGAGAGCTTTAGCTCTCCGATGCATTCCCATCACCTCTTCAACTTCCCTCGACATGACGCGCCTCAAAGCGCTCTCTACCGCCGCGTGCCCCACCGTCCCTCCTCCGTCAACCGACCACTCCCGACCGCCCACCGAAACCCCGATCCTCACCACCTCCGTCACCAGCTTCTCGTTGTAAAACTGGTCCGCCATCACGGGCCATGTCACCATCGGCAAGCCCGCCGTGATCCCCTCGAGCGTCGAGTTCCATCCGTAGTGGGTCACCAGTGCGCCGATGGCCGCATGGTCCAGGATCAGGACCTGTGGCGCCCACCCTCGGATTATCATCCCTCTCCCTGACGTCCGGTCTTCGAATCCTTCTGGCAGCCAGTTGTTGCCATCATCTTCTTGATGACACTCTCTGACCACCCATATGAACTGGCACTCGGACGCCTCGATCCCGATCGCGATCTCCCTCATTTGCTCGGCGCTGAACTTCACGATGCTCCCGAAGCTTACGTAGACGACGGTGTTCGGTTCCTTGGATTCGAGCCACTTCAGGCACTCGTCGCGGCCGATCGTGGCTTCCTTTCCGCGGACTGCTCTGTCGTCCGCGTTGCAGAGGGAGACCGGACCCACGTGCCACGATCTCCTACCTGCATGTCGAAAAAATCAGTCGATCCCAAAAACTCGAACTCATAGGAGAGATGTTCAGTAATCGATCTTATACCACATGACTAACACTACCTAGAACCCTCCGGTAATGGTCGGCGTAGGCGGGCTCGAGCTCGTAGAAGCTGTTGACCACCGTTCCGAAACATTCCGAGCTCGACTCCCCCACCCTCTTGAAAAACTCAAACATGAAGTCCTCCTCCTTCTCGCTGCTTCCTGTATATGGATAGTTGGATACACACGGTACGAGTAGTATTATGTTGTGCTACGGGTATTTGTTATGTAATCTAGCTAGTAACAAAGGTATAATATTTTTTTTTATCAAAAGTCGGGTAGAAGTTGGGTATTTTCCATATTAGTGTTAAGGTATTGTTACCGGTGGTCTGTCGTGACGGCAGCTGCCGCCTGGTGAACCGGACTTCGTCGGGAAGTCCGGGGATCACGAACGACTCGTCGTCCGAGGAGACGCGGTTCTGCGGCTCGTGGGTCGCCACGGCATCGCCGGCGGCCAGGGCGAAGAAGCTGGTGCCGTGGAAGATCAGCCTGGGGATGCCGAATTTCGCGGCGGATTCGGTGGCCCACGGGAACAGCATGTCGGCGACGAGGCAGTCCGGCCGGTCCTGCTCCAGGAGCTTCTCGAAGGGCTCCCGGAGCGCGACGGCGGCGCGTGTGAATTGGGAGACGCCTTCCCAACCTTTGTTGTGGGCGGAGATGAACTCGAGGTTCTGGCACTCCGCCGGCAGCCCGAACTCGGCCGCCGGGAAGTCGATGAGCCGGGTCTGGATGTCTGGGCCGGTGGTGGTGGTGGCGGAGAAGTTGGGGGCGTTGAGAGGGGTGGTGACGATGGTGGTCTTGACGCCTCGGCCGGCGAAGAGCTTGGCCATGTCGACGGTCGGGATTAGGTGGCCGTGGGCGAGGAACGGGAAGAAGTAGACGTGAAGCAGCCGGTCGGTGGAATTGGCCATTTCCTTGTTTGTTTGTTTCTTTTTTTTTTTTTTTTTTGATGGTTTTGTTTCTTTCCCTTCTAAGGAAGTGGAATTATTTATAGTGGCAATAGGTGAAATTGTTCATATTTTTCTTTTTATATTTTCCCTACTTATTATCACTAGTTTTTTACCCGTCCGTTGGGCGGTGTATTTTGTTTGGTTATTTTATAATTCGTTATAGTATTCTAATTGTTATTATTATTTATGTTTGTTAAGGTAATATATATGGAATTGTAAATCCCACTTACCTTATTTCAGGTATTGTTTCATACTTTTATACCTTTTGTTTATTTATGAACATTTTAATTTTATTAACTGAGCTCTTTGTAGATTGTTCTTTATTGATTTAGAATTTTTTTATCGAACTCGCCCTTTAAGATTATAAACATAAGAGTTATTCATTCTTTAGCACACAATTGTGATAAAGAAGTTAAAAAATTTACAGCAACAAAGAAGAAGTTAGAATAAGAAAATATGCTTCAATTAATAAAAAAATAAGCGAAGAGCTTTTAATTTTCTCTCCCTTCTCATATGTCGGTATACGATAATAGAGAATATTCCGATCTAAATCCCATGAATATCTGAATTATCACTTACACATACAACTTTGGAATAATAGAGAATTTTCTCTCCCACCTACTCGTTTAATTACCTTGAAATGTTCTAAAAAACCAACCACAAACAAAACTATCAGCTGTCACAAACTTATTAAAGTAATATTTTCAGCAAATTAAACTGCATATAATTAAATACAATTTATATTTTGTAGAGAGCTACATATCTCATGCAGAAAAGAATTGTGATATTTACCTAATAACAACGTAGAAAAATAATGAAAGGAGCAGTCTTCAATACAACTCAACTCATTTTATAATGCAGATTCCTCATTTGTGAACTGAATATATGCATCAATCCAAATAGTAGTTTGTAAGAAAACAATCATGTCAAAATCAAGGTTTAGTTAGGGATTCAATGCGGAAAAATTCATCTTAATGAAACAAACATGTAGAAATTAAAAAAACATCAAAATAGACAACCGAGAAACCACCATTATCATTTTCTTTCTTCTTCGCGACCTTTATAAAACCCCAATTATGTTCTCTTCTACTTATAACCTCTTTGCTACCTACTAATTACTAAACAGATCATCATTGTATTGCTAGCTAGTAGCATGTCAATCATGAACATAAAATATAATAAACAACCATCACAACTCTTCTTTCTATTTCAACATTCACGAAATCGAATTGTAATAGGCATTCAAGAAAAATGATCAATTATTCAATCTAATGAGGTATGCCCTAAGTCCAACCAATGAACCTTTCTAATTATATTTTATATATTTAAATAAAAGTATATGACGACCCTTCTCCTTGAAAAACAAAGAAGAAACACATTCACTCATCGAGAGTGGGAAAATTTACCATCCAGCAGTTATAATTTAGAAGAAATTAAGAAAAGAATGGAAGAAGAGTATAACTCGGCCAGTCAACCGCAAACAATAACATATCGATGAGAAAGTGAGACCAATTGCTAGCTTCAGATCAAGGAGGAAGAGGGAGTAGTCGACAACCCTCGGCTTGGTTCACCTCATCTTCACAATGATCAGATGAACTTTTTCGTTAACATGCAAAAATATGTTACAACTGCTCAAAATTTTGTCATCTAATCATTGCCTCGTGTAACTCCTGCCTCCTATTCTCATACAAAGAAAAGAAAATCATATGTATTACCATTTCCTTCTCTATAAATTATGAGAATACAAATATTAGAAATCTCAAAAAAATTGGCAACTAAGAAGAGGGTTTTGTTTATTTTTATGGTGGTTGACATACTTTCTTGATTTCTTATTTTCAAATTTGGATTTTATTTCCAGCGAGACAATCAAAATGGGAAATGGGACAGAAACAAATTAAAAGTTTGCATTAATAATTAATATGTTTTTATTTAATTGGAATAAATAAGAAGTTTTTAAAAAAATACAATTATTGCTCTGTCAAGTTTATATTCAAACATTTTGCTATAAAATTTATACTTGTTTTATTTGATAGGTATGTACATTAGAAAGAAGTGAGTGTTTGATAGAAAAAAAAACATATAGTCATATCGATCATTTCTCAAAGTCGATTGATTATCAAACCCTTGTTTTCTCTTAGACCATCGTTTATATTTTGTTTAATTGAAAATATTATTATTTATGTGTGTGTGTGTGTTTTTCTTGCTTCATCAAAATGTAACTTATTATTAAATTTTAGTAAAAATGAGTAGAAAATTTATTTAATCAGATTTAATCAGCTTGGGTTAAACAAACACGACATATCACTCTCTGTTTCCATCTTTATAGTTTGTTTAATTGGAAAAAAAGATGATTACTTATGTATGTGTTTGGTTGTTTAAATGTTTCCTAAAAAATTAACTTATTTTAATTTTATTTTAATTTTAGTAAAAATGAGTAGAATTATTAAAAGAAGAGAGAGATAGCTTCATAAATAGATCAATAAATAGTTTTTTGTTTGTAAAAAAATTGTCCACCTTGGCAACTTGTGCATTCACCAAGTGCTTATGTGGCAAGAAGTTATTTTTGAATAGCCATAATATTTAGTATAGATAGATAGATAGATAGATAGATAGATAGATGCTACAAAAAGATGTGGTTAAGCCTGGTCTAGGTGTCAGGCAACATCAAAATGTTACGTTTGGGATTTTTATTTGGCGAGTTTGCAATCCAAAATGGGGCGATGATGGACGACAACACCTAGGTGTCACCTTCGGTAATCAATAACAAAATGAAATTAACATAATTTACAAAATGAATCTTTTCACCGAATCGATCTTTTCAATAATCCTAAAACTTTTTGAGATAATAAGCTACGGTTCTACGGGTTTGTAATATGTTTTTTCATATTTTTTAAGTGTTGAGTAAGTTCCTAATCATTTGAACTAAAGTAGAAGTGCAGTAAAACATCTATTTCATTCATCATTTAGTACGAATTACTATTTCTACCTTTAGCGGCTATGCACGATAAGGCAAGACCCCCAACGCCCGCCTTACGCAAAGCGGATTCTTTAACCTTACTAACTATGCATAAAAATGAATGCAGAATTTGATGAAGATTAAGTTGGAAGCATAATTAGTGATCACGCTACGAGATCGGTGTTAATGCAAACATAGTTTTTTTTAAGTATGATATAGATTTACTTTTCTCGTTAGGTACTACTTAAAAGATTCGAACTTGTAACGTGCAAGGCTAGCTAGTGACACAAACATAATTTGTTATATACGAAACAAAAATTTCTTTTTATTTCCTGCTTTGATCAAGATTAGTGAATATAAATCTATAGACATCAAGTGAATAAAAGTCTTTGTCTGATCTAGAGAAATATTAAAGTAATAAAAAAATGAAAATTTTAATATTGAGAAATTGTAACAAGGAAGGGAAAGAGATCTAAAAGAATCATTCCTGAGATTTGTTTCACTAATTTGTAGCTCTTTCTATTGAAAATTGTTTTTGTATTGCCTTGATTAGCTTGTTCAATTACAATCTTAGAGGTCACAATCTCATTAAAGTTCATTTATTTATTTTAAGGGATACGTTTATAATTATAGAAGAGCTTTTATTTTAGTTGGTTTTAGTTGGATTCGTGTATTTTCTGAAAAGTACAATAGTGCTTATTTTCTTATATTCCATAATTTGGTACCTAAATTTTCATCTGTCTGGTAATGAAAATATCATCAACATATTACATTTTGGTACCTCAATTTTTTTATAATAACATTTTAGTAACTGAACTTTTCAAATCATATTTCATTTGCCAGGATTACATCGCGGTCCCATGACCATCCATGCATTTACATGTACTAGCTTATTACCCGGCCCGTTGGCCGGATTACTGTATGTTACCCACTTGTGGAATACTGGAATGGGAGAGAAAGCAAGTGAGAGTGAAGGGATTGAGATTCCACTTGATTAGGACCGACCCACTAATCCGATTCTTCCCGACCCGCCCCAACCTAGAGGGTCAGAAAGAGTCAATAAGAAAATACGAACGAAGAGGATTAGTCATATATCTTGACTCTTCAGAAGTGGGTCAAACAGGATCAAGGTTGGGTGAGGGCAATTTTTAGCGCTAAGTAGAGTTCTGGGTTGAATAACTTTACTTAGGCCTAGAAATTGGTGCTGATGCAGACTGCAGTTTTTATTTATACCATCATCAATCATCATTGAATTAGTCCTGGGCATCCCTCCTCACTGTCGGTCTGAATTCTAATGATGGCTTCATTCCTTGCACCAGCCATATCAGCGAGTTGTCATCTCGAGCATGATTTGCCTATGTACAAATGATACAATTAGAGTATGAAACTGAATTCAAAGAAAATGAAAAGAGAATTCTATCACATGCCAATAAATACACACATAATAGTTGAAGCTAAGTGAAAATCATTACTCGCACATCAATTCTCAAAAATTATAGACTAAAACAATGGCTAGAATGACACTGAAACTACCAAGAATCATGGACGAAACAACTTTTCAAATTAAATAATCCTTATGCTGAAACTACCTTCTAACTTGAAATAAGACATGATCACAGTTCATAGCACTCTTATCACTATGAATTGGTTGCAGCTCGTCCTTATCACTGCCTCCCAAGCTCAATTCAAACAGAATAGAGACCGTTATGTAAGATAACCATATCCTTACTGTCATAATTTCTTTCTTCACTCCATTTTTGTCGGAGAAAAGAGTTATCCCCCTCTCCTGCATTTCACTTTCCCCCTCTCTTCTCCCTCTTCTTCACAAACCGATCCCTAAACCAGCAACAACAACACAAAAATAGCCTTCGCCTCTGCCATCTCCATCTACTGAACGCGTTGGTGGCAAGACAGGATTGCAGAAGCAAAATTTTCTAAAATCAAACTAAATTTTTTGAAGGAGACTCAACCACGAAAAAAGAGTAAAGCAACAATGCTAATAGTTCAGATGGTTGGTTTTGATGTTATACGTTGCTTTTGTTATGGTCTCCAGTATTTCAATTGCAACAGAGA